ATTCATGATGCATTTAACGTGACTGGCACCAAACAATCCGTGATCATAGGTGGGGAATCCATCCTCACACTTGATTGGATGGACCTCACTGGTTACGACGTCTTACTAGAAACTCACTTCAGGAAACTCCGTCCTATAGCAAGTCACTAGAGAGCATCAGTGAGGTCCATCCAATGAAGTGTGAAGATGGATTTCCCACTGATGACACTGATTGGTGCCAGTCGCGTTAAATGCATCACGAATTGGTAGAAGTTAGAATCCATGTGCTGGTTATTGAATCGGGTCGGGTCGCAGTGGCCAAATGGTATATGAGCAGCTTAACTTGCAGCCAGAAGCTCCTGGGTTCGAATCTTGATGGTATCTGGGTACTGATGATAATTCTCAAACTAGGGTGAAGCAGCTGGCTGTGAAGTACTCCAGTTCTGGTTTTCAATGTTTCTCTAACTGATATCAATCAATGGTCAAATTCTGAGAAACACATCCAATCCTTACAATCCAAACTCTTAATCTATTATTAGTTATGAATATTATTGATTGTTTCTTGTTCTTCTTTGACTGGTGTTTCATCAGCCTAACTCGAGACTCTTCATCAGTACGCGATCAACTCCAAGGTTTGAACCCAGGACCTCGCGATTATAAGGCTGGTGAGCTCATCAACCATGAAGCCGTTGTTTGGGACATTCATAGGTCTTCAGCGGAACATCTTTATTATCAACTGAGTTGTATCTACCATCAATTATCCAAAAGCTTCTGCTACCATTTCCTCTTGATTACATGATCTTCTTCACGTTATCCTTGGAACCAGGTGCAACCCCACCCCCCTCCGCTGCACAACGCTTCCTATTCAGATTTTACTTGAGGGTGTAGCTAGTGTATGATGTCATATTTCGTTGTTTCTTCTCAGCTGAACAATACAAAAATACTAATTACATAGAAGATTTGAACATATCTTTTGTGCGATATTAATGGAGTAATTGATAGGAATTTAATTGATGGATGGCGACCAGCAGTGGAATCCAGGATGCACATCTCGTCCTATTTGTGACTCGCTTGTCAGCTGGGTGTACCTGTGTTCCCACCGAGGCTTGAACCCAGAGGCTCATAGTTTCAAACGCCAAAGCGTTATTCGCTAGACCACTTGGGCCACGACAGCCAGCCAAGTCATGTGTAACGCGTCGTGTTAATTATTTAGGACCGAGCACTTCGGTTCAGCCAATCGACGCGAGAAATCTTAAATTCAATTAAATAATTAATGTGTCCCGTTGCACAAGAGATAGCTGGCTCTCGTGGCCCAAGTAGTCTAGTAGATAACGCTTTGGTGTTTGAAACTATGGCCACTGGGTTCGAGCCTTTGTGGGAACATATTCACTCACTGGGAAATGAAGGTACATCTAAATGACGAGTCCCGAATAGGACGAAATGCGCTTTATCCTGGATTCTACTGCTAGTCACCATCCACCAGTTAAATACTAATTAAATGCCCAGACATCATCGAAGCATCTGCAAAAGAAGCCAACAGAAATGTCAACCTGAGACCGAGCTGTCTGTCTGTCTGGATTCAACATAGAACTTCGCACCGAAGTGCACCAGTTCGAGTTGCCACCTTCCAGATAGCACACAGAGGTAGACAAGAAGATGAGTGAAGAGAATCAATAGAGTTTGACAAGTATAAAAGCGAAACTGAGTGGGTAATGGTAGAAAGGAATATGAAAGATTACAGAGACTGAATACATCTGAGCTGGCCATTGACAACGAATTTGTGCCATGTCACCTATTGTCTCCAGCCATTGATTCTTAGAATCAGTCCCGAGGGCTCCAACCTGGAAGTCTGCATCTCCGTACCTGACCGACTCAGTTTAACTGTCAAGGATTTCATGGATTGATGAGGCCATGTTTTTGTTTGGCCACCACTTACTCTTTTCCAACCTGCACCTATATCAGCTAGTAATGCCCGTCAATTGGGGGAGGCGATGGTTAGGCATGCGCAGCCCGTGACCTAGACATTTCAATCTATGCAACTTTATAGCCTCGTAGATTGATTTTCCCTCTTTTCCCAACACTCTACGCCTAACGTCAACATTACTTACCTTGTGAAACCACCTAACGTGAGAAAGAGATCGCAGACATCTATGGTCGAAAGCAGTCAACCTTTTCATGTTTTCAACGCGTATTGGCCATGTTTCAGAGCCATAGAGAAGGACGGAGCGAACTGATGAGCAGTAAATGAGACCGAGCACTGCGGTTCAATCAATTGATGGGAAAATCTGAAATTCAAATAAATAATTGATGAGAAATATATAACTAGTATAAGTGTGGAATTAAGCAGGCCGCGAAATAATTAAGAATAACACATTTAGGAGAAAAAGAGGTTGTATTTTCAATTAGATCTCATCAGGCTTAATTAACTCTAATATACCCATATAATTTTGCAGATAAATAATTCAAATAAAAACCAATCACGGTGTTTTGTCGATAGGATAATAAGATGGTGAATATAAATTGTGCAATTAGTCATAATAATAGTAATAATGATAATATTAGTGGTTCTATCAGTTACAAGAATTAAAAAAGTGGGGCTATCGGTAATAACAAGAATAGTGAAAAACAGCATGATTACATAAACAAATAACCGATAAATATTAAGAAAAATAAATGAGCCGATTAAGTAATGCTAGATTGTAAGGGAAGTAAATAAAATACGTTTATAATGAACATGTGGTAAGATTAAGGGCTGATGATAAGAGAGGGGTTAAAAATATAAGTAAGGAGTGGTGGAGAAGTCATCAGTTGGGTAAGTCTTAATAGGCCAACAAGGGAGGGATAATAGCTGTATGAACTTCTTTTGAATGAGCATATTTTAGGCTTATCGCCTCAGCCGTGTGCAGTAGACGAATACGAAGTTTATTGGGAAGATTCGGTGGGATACGATGAATTACCTTGAAAGCTTTCGTTTTCTCCACTACATGACCGCTATCAACTAAATGTCATAAAATGGAACTACAGATTGTTTTTGTCCGTCCTTTGTCAAACCATGATGGGGGGAGATGTTCAGTAATGACACATTGGGTAAACTGTCTAGTAGTACTCCGAAAAAGAACTATCGCCACAGGTGCAGTTGAATTGACAAATGCGCGTAGTTGTAGTTAAACTGTCTAGCTTATTCTTCATTTGCGTCTCAAACATTTGTCTGCTAGAGAATGATGACAAACATAGGTATGCTGCGTAAAACACTCTTCGTATACTCCTGGGAAAGTCTTTGGAATAAAATCTCACTTGACAAGTCATCATTAAGTTGTAAGTGAATAAACAGAGGTTCCGATTCTGATATAGTTGTATTATCTGAGCTACAAATCTTCTCCATCAATATCTAAATAGGGGTTCTTTACGTGCAGTCGTAATCTCAGGTTTTCTTTCCAATGTTTTCATATATTTCGACATGAAACTATTTGGATAGTCAAGGAATCGTGATTTCATTTAAAATCCACTTTGTAAGTGGTCATCCGTACATATCTTTCTTGCTGTGCTCATAAGACATTTAACAACATTGCTTTTATGTTTAGTAGGCGTGTAACTGAGAAAGTGTGTGTGTGTGTATTGATTGCCTTGTGAATTTGCTTTTTCTATACACGCTTCTCTCAAGTAAAGTTATGTATATTAGAGTTAAAACTGATGAAATCTAACTGAAAACAATATTGTTCGCTTAAATGTTTTGTTGTTCTAAATTCTACTATGGGGATATTTAATATTTTAACATAATAAGGAGTTAAAAGGATTGAATGTTTATAGAATAATTAAATGAATATTTTCAAGTATTGCTTTTGTAGGGATTGTGGTTGATTGGTTGGAGGGTAGGGTACAGTAGGTTGATGAAGATGAGGCAGTATAACTTATCGAAGAAGACATTGTGAAGTGGTCACACTATTTCATGATTTGGCAGAAGTTAGACTTCATGCACTGGCTGGCCATTGAATCGGATCCCGGTGGTTGGCTTAATGGTCTACGAGCTCACTAGCCTTGTGACCAGAAGGTCCTGGATTCGAATCATGGTGGTGGTGTTAGAGAGTCCCAAACTGGGATGATGTGAACAGTAGTTTAACTAAAAAAGAATATATCACAATAAATTAGGTTAGGTAACTATCGAAAATGTTCTTAAAAACAGCATGACACGAGTAAGGTGAATGATCTTCAGATGAAGTAATAAAATTTTCTAAACAAAACACGCTATGTTTCTTTTCAAGAGTTGATTTGTAAGGATTAGATTTGTTTTTCAAATTTGATCACGGATTCATATCATTTAGAGAAGCAATGAAAACCAGTACTGGAGTACTGGACACTTGTTTCATCAACCTAGTTTGGGAATCATCATTAGGACGTATTCACCATCGAGGTTCAAACTCAAAACTTTTCGGTTACAAGTCAAGCTGATTTGTTCTCTTACCTATTGATTTTCTTCAACTCTTTGAGCTTGTTCACACTATGATCATTGTCCAAACAATTGGCATGCGATCGCACTGTTTTCATCACGAAAAAACAGGTAGTTAGATGGATTAATGAAAACCAGTAAGCACTAGACAACTATTTTGTCCTCTCCTGGGACTCCTCAACAGTGCGCACCCAAAAATCTATCAATGATCAAGCCTGGGACCCTCAGTTTGCAAGACCATTCAGCCAATTGGGCTTGGATTCAATGACCTCTGAATTCTAACTTTGTCAACTCGTGATGTAACACTACCACCACCACCACCACTAATGCCTTTGATTACTGTCCGCTTCACCTTGATATTGTGGACTCCACGTGTTACGACTTTCCATTGGTGGTAGCTTCAGGAAATTCATCCAGCAGCCATCAGTAAGCTGGCTATTTTATAGTTCAGATTGTGTTTGTGCTACGTTTTAATCTCAGATTCTTTGATGTGAGACGAATGTCATTTGAATAATATCTCATTTAAAGTAATCGTCATCATCATCACCATTTCTTTTGTTGTTTTTTTTCTTTTCAGTGTGTTATCTACTTATTCAGTTTAAAGATTCTACATCCTCGTAGTCTATTTCTTCTACGTGGTAATCATGAATGTCGTCATTTAACACAGTATTTCACATTTAGACAAGAATGTAAGTTATTACTGCTTGTTTTTTTGGATGGCGTGGCGTCGGGGGCTGGTGGTTATCTTTTTGTTTTATTTCAACTTGTTTTTGACTGTTTGAGCCCACTATTCATCAGAGGAAATGTTCTAGATGAGTACATTACTATCAAAAGTGTAGAATTTGGGCACAGTAGATTCTGTCTGTCTGGATTCAACATAGAACTTCGCACCGAAGTGCACCAGTTCGAGTTGCCACGTTCCAGATAGCACACAGAGGTAGACAAGAAGATGAGTGAAGAGAATCAATAGAGTTTGACAAGTATAAAAGCGAAACTGAGTGGGTAATGGTAGAAAGGAATATGAAAGATTACAGAGACTGAATACATCTGAGCTGGCCATTGACAACGAATTTGTGCCATGTCACCTATTGTCTCCAGCCATTGATTCTTAGAATCAGTCCCGAGGGCCCCAACCTGGAAGTCTGCATCTCCGTACCTGACCGACTCAGTTTAACTGTCAAGGATTTCATGGATTGATGAGGCCATGTTTTTGTTTGGCCACCACTCACTCTTTTCCAACCTGCACCACCTATATCAGCTAGTAATGCCCGTCAATTGGGGGAGGCGATGGTTAGGCATGCGCAGCCCGTGACCTAGACATTTCAATCTATGCAACTTTATAGCCTCGTCGATTGATTTTCCCTCTTTTCCCAACACTCTACGCCTAACGTCAACATTACTTACCTTATTATATCACCTAACGTGAGAAGGAGATCGCAGACATCTGTGATCGAAAGCAGTCAACGTTTTCATGTCTTCAACTCGTATTGGCCATGTTTCAGAGCCATAGAGAAGGACGGAGCGAACTGATGATCAGTACACACGTCCCTTGGTTAACAGCCGGATGTCACGCTTACGCCAGAGATGGTGTAGGTCAGCGAAAGTAGCTCGAGCTTTTTGGATCCGTGCTGATATTTCGTCGCCAATCAGTCCGTTGGTGCTAATGCAACTTCCCAAATAAGTGAAGTGGTTAACATGTTCTATCACTTCATTCCCTATCACTAAGCTAGGAGTTGACGTATTCCACGGTGGATTCAGTGGTGAAACGCTTGCCACCACCACGCTTCACGTGGTCCACGGGGTCGATTCCCAGCTGGTGCACACTTAAAACTTCACTAAGCCCGTAGTAAGGCGTATGAGGAAGAGAGGTTGGGTATGAGGCTAGCAATACTGTTACGAAAGTTATATATATGTCCAAACCAAGTTCACTTTTAACAGTGAACTTGAAAAAAATTTGACCATTGGGTATAGGATATATTCATTATAATAGAGGTTTTTGTATTCCCCAGTGAATGAAAAACAAAACGATATTGCTGTTTTTACTGACGTTTCGCTTTATCAAAGTATTATTAAACCGGAATTTACAAAATCTCACCATACATATAACAAAAAGTTAAGAGGCGAGAAAATAGACTGCTTAGGTCAAGGTAAAAGGAGGACATATTGAAAGTCAAAATAGCAATGAATATCACTAAACCAAATAACAAAGGTAATAGTACGTCTGTTATGATATCAAAACAAAGTTTACTAACTTGATCATCCTTCGTTAGTCTGGGGTCATTTTTCATTGTCAAGTCGGTCAGCTGGTAGAGATAACAAAACCAAGTTTAGATTGTTGGATTTGATCAGTGTGTGTTTGCATAGTGATCTAGTGGCTCATGAATTCTAACTTCTACTGACTCGTGATTTAGCGCGGCCCTAACCATTGTCGTAGGTTGGAAATCCATCCTCACACATAACGTCTGGATGGACCTTACTGGTCACGACTTCTCACTAGAACTCCAGGAAACTCCGTTCTGTAACAAGTCACTAGCGAGCATCAGATTTTAATCGGGTCCCAGTGGCTGAATGGTATATGAGCCAGCTTACCTTGTAACCGGAAGGTCCTAGGTTCGAACCCCTGTGGTGCGTACTGCCGATGATTCCCAAACTAGGATGAAACAGCAGCTGCCCAACACTTCCTCGTTTTCAATGGTCCTCTAACTTATATCAATCCGAGATCAACTCGTAAAAATTAAATTCACTTGTTAAGACTCAATTAATAGTTTGGCTCTTCCTCCTTCTCCTCTTGCCCGTCTAATGGACCAAGTCTGGTGTTGTTTTTATTGATGAAGATTTAAAAAAAACTTTTCACCTATATATCCATCAAGGTATATCGACATTGGGAGAAAACACATCTGAGTGATTGATTTCTATTGCATTTTCAACAAAGAACTTAGCACAAAAAAAAGTACAGAAGCTAAATTTTCCACTTTTCTCTAATGGACACACTATAAATGGAAGTTTACATGAGAAAGAATTATTGCATAGGGAATAATCAAGATTTTGAAGTATTGGTGGGTGTGAACTGATGAAAAGTCCCAAAATAAGCTGACAAAACAGCTGGCTATCTAGTACTCTCTGCAAGGTTTCCAATGGTTCACTCACTAACCGATGATGCCAGCTCATGATGAAATCCTGTAACCAAATCAAGATTTCATAAAGAAGTGAATGCTTCTGACATAGCGAGAATAATTTTGTGCTCCTTCGTCAGCAATTTCAAGCCATAGCGTCTCAGGGAGCCTAGCGAGTTAGTTTACGCCTCCCTAGGTTACTTATGTGTATGTGGGGAGATAGCTTTACTTTTGTCAACATATAAATGACCATTTCGAAGAGGAATTCCTTTTTCTAGTGTGGAGTCGTAACCAGTGGCGTTCATTTAGTTGGGTGTGTGGGGAAAGATACTCACCGATGACATTGGTAGACGGTTGCACTATACTGTGAACTGACAGAAATTCGGACAGATGGGCCATTGGATTGCGTTACAGCCTTCTAACCAGAAGGTCCTAGGCTTAACCATTGGTGGGATCCAACACAAGGATGAAACAGCTAGCTGTCCAGTACTCCTTGATTTTCGATAGTTCTCTCCTCAATGAGAGCAAATCGTTATCAAAATTGATATTTAAGCATTTTATTTTTTGTTTCTGAATGTTTGCCATTCCAATAGAATACCTAATGACAACAAAAATCGATATATTTCCCCCCCATCTCGCCCCCGATTCACGATTATTGCTATTATTACTATATCGTTGAATTTAGTAAGCTAATTTATTGTGAAGTAGTGTTCTTGTTCCCGACAGACAGTGGAATAGGTACTTAACTCTAGTGCAATGTCTATCTTTTGAGTTATGGTTTCCAGTGAGATATATTAAAACTTGTGGAGAGGTTACTCTTCATTAACGTGAGCAATATTGTTTCAGTTAGTGAATCCTGAGTTCGAGTTCTGCTGCATCTACTTACTCACTTTAGGCACCCAATTATATAGTATGATCAACCCCCCCCCCACTCCTACACACACATACACACACGAACGCACACTAATTTTGTCTGATAGCCTGGTATATAAGATGTCTCTTTAAGATAACTGACCATGAAGAATATTCATCGAGAAATTAGAGGGAAAAGAACAAGAAATTCATCAAAGATGGCGGTTTTTCCGGCGATTTCATTCTCAGAAGCAGCTAGCTGTACAATCGCATGGATACAATTAGTGTTTATTTAATTTCACATAGTAACGAAAGTGGCAATAATTTTCAACTTGATATGAAGGTTTGAAGGTACGAATATAGACTATGAGGGGTTAGAGACAAGATTACATAGGATTAGAAAACAGTCACAAAGTAGGCAAAATTAATATTTGATAACTGGAGAAATAATTTTAAAGGCGAATAAAAGGTGACAATTATTTTCAACTTGATATGAATTACAAGAGCCTTAGAAACAAACATTTCGCAGGGATGGAACGAATTACAGGTGTACCTATGTACCTAGTTCTGCACGAGCAGGTGGATTGGTAAATCGGCACTGTAGTAGTCATATGCGGAAGTCTGTCCTTCCCGTTGCTCCGAAGTAGTGGGCGGCTAGAGAATATCACTATTAGAGTTGCTTCAAGAAAAGTGTTCTTCAAGGAATTGGAGATTATCCTATTGAGATTATCTGCTGCTAGATATCCCTTGAATATCAGATTCAAATAAAGTGTTTTCTCTGACACTGAAGTGTATTCTTCTCTTTTTGGCTTCGATCTCATGTTCTTCTCCATGAGAAATAGAAGCTATTCTTCTAAACAGTCATCGCTACAAGTTCTTCTGGTACGGTGAGCTAGCAAGATGATGAGAGCTCTTTTACGGCTGATAGGTATCCATCCAACTGCAGAAGTTTGTCAGTTGGCCATTGCATGTTGGTTTGTCTATGGATAAATCTTTTCAGAGTTTCTGTCATCTCTTCTTGTCAATTCGATGTCCAGGAACGAAATCATCGGATTGATTTTCAACTTCGATTGTGAATTTAATTGGAGGATGACAGTTATTAAACTCCTGTAAGATACAGTTTCAATCAGAATCATCCTGACAAATTGATGATCCTGATAACTGAGTTCTAACAGTGTATTATAACCTTTTCACATGATTCTACTATATGTGTATATAATCATAAATAATCTTTCTTCTTTCTGTATTGATTTACTGTTATAAAAGGTATCATGAAGAGTACAGAACGTGTTTATGAAGCTTGTATGGAAGCATTCGACTGTTTGCCTTTAGCTGCATTAATTAATCAACAGTTTTTATGTGTACATGGTGGCCTATCTCCTGAATTGCATACACTGAATGATATTCGAAAGGTAATGGTTTTTGTTTTATTTATATTTGTGGGTTTTCTCTTGTTTTTCTCTCTCTTTTTTTGATTTTTAAAGTACGAATCATTTTAGGTAGAATCATAATACTGAGATCATTGCAACTGTGTAACAGCCTATATCCTGGATTCTCTTCTGATGTGAGATGCTAACCACTTAGCATTATCAGCTATGTCTAACATCATGGTAGTGATAGAAAATGGGACGTTGGATCCAGTCCCAGTGGCTTAATTGTCTACGAGCTAGCTCGTCTTGTAACCAGAAGGTCATGAATTCGAACACCGGTGGGGGGGGGTGCGTACTGCTAAAGACTTGCAAATTAGGACGAAATAGCTGGGTGTCTAGTACTTCCTTCAGGTTTTCCAATTGTTCTCTAACTGATGTCAGCCGATGATGGAGTCCTGTAACCAACCTATCAATCCAATCCCGTACAGACCGATACTGTTTGATTTCCACTTTTTGTGAATTGGATTACTTCTATACGAAGATGCCGTCTAGTTGATATTGTATTTAGATAACACATTTGTTTAGCTTGTAGATACTGAGAGAATGCTCTGAAGGGAAATATGGAGATGTCTAGCATGGAGTTTTGTGGCGTGTATTACTAACTTGATATATAAGTAGTATATAGGTGTGAATATAAATATGTTAAACGCAAGAGAGAGATGGATTTAATGAACAGTGCTTGGGAAGCGACATGGAAAACATGAAAAGAAGACAAGGAAGAGTAACACGAAAGATGAATTAGAACAGTACCCTAGCAAATTGTTGATATTAGATGGTTGGAGGCAATCGGCAGGGGGAGCCTTCAACCTATGTTTCGTGTTAGTTGGCATTTGTCAGAATGGTGTATCCTCAATCTTTAAGGAACTCATGTGTATTCTGAGATTCGAACCCGTTTCACCCGATGAGTATTGCAGTCAGAGGCGTCAAACACTGAGTTCCTTCAAGGCCTTTGCAGATTCGCCTTACTGACTTGTGAGTGCCAACTAGCACGAAACCTAGGTGCGAGGCTTCCTGCCGACCTAAGGCCTCCATCCATCTAATATTCAACATTTGAAAGTGTATCTTGGTGGCTGGCAACCCACTTAGTGGCATGGTGACCATATTGCAAACTTGACTGATAGATATAGCACTAGACACATTACACCAGTGACTAATTAGAGTCCAATCAAAGGTACCGAAGAATATATGCAAATCGTGATTCTACTGCATGGTGGACGTGTTTTGCCTATATATGTGCATCGAGTTACACATAAGTAATTTCTTTACCAACTCTCTAGTCGTGTTTTGTTCCAGTCTGTCAGTTTCATCTGTAAGGTGATACGACCAGCTTGACAACTTCACTTATCCCGGAAGTTATTTCGGCCCAAGTCTGCCATTCCGACACTGATTTCTTGAAAGTCACTCAAGTACACAACCCAATGACAAATTCAGAATTGAGCTGACATTAGTTAGAGAACCATTGGAAAACCTGGGAGTACTGGACAGCTATTTCGTCCTAGTTTGGGACTCTTCAGCAGTACGAACCCACCGGGATTCGAAACCAGGACCTTACGGTTACAAGGCGAGCTCGTATACCATTAAGCCACTGGGACCCGTTCCAATGGTCCTTGAATTCTAACTTCTGCCAATTCACAACATATCGCGACCGCTGGCCAATGTCTTCGGTGGCGAGTATTTGTCCTCACACCCGACCTGCTGTACCCTACTGGTCACGACTTCCCACTGGAACCCAGGTAACTACCTACCTGAATAGAGCCAGTCGCCAGTGAGCATCTCATTGGTATTAAAGTGTTGGCTTGTAGGGATTTGACTGGTTTCAGGATTTCATCATGAGCTAACATTAGTTAGGGAACCATTGGAAAACCTGGGAGTACTGGGAGTACAGTACAAATCAAATCATTCCGGCCTGTTTGAACTTGGAGAGAGTAGATACAGTGTTCTACTTATTTACCAGCTACTTTATCTGCAAGTCTATACTCTTACGTAGGGTTATGGCACTTAAATTAAGGTTAGGTTTAATGTTAAATTTAGGGTTAGGAGTTAGATTTATGGGTAGAGTGAGAGCAGGTTGGAGAATAGTGTCAGAAATATCAATGGATCGCAAAGTACCATGACCTCTACAGTCACCTGGATGGATGGATAGATCGTGCATGGTACGATTTCACCATAAAGATCATCTCTGTATTGACTGGTAGATATTCTAACAACATATAAGCTACAACTATACAGTGTAATATCAAGTTTGCAGTGTATTTTTTAGTGTATTTTTTAACAATTGTGCTGATTTTTTTGCATTTGAATTCTGATTGGTTGTTCAGCGTCACTGTGGTTTTAGCTATGACAGTTTAACTTTGTGGAAAACACCCATATGGACATTAGAAAGAAGAGAACACGAAGTTCAGCAAAGATATCTTTTCGGCGATTTGCTCTAATTTCTACTGAAACACTCCCCCACCTACACGGTAATGACAACAGAGACCAAGGTATTTTGATCCAATAAAATCAATCATTAGCTTGTTGGGAAACATAGAAAATAAATAAATAAGACAGTTAACAAACTAGACTAACTATATGTTATTTATTATTATTGCCTCCTTTAGTTCCTAGAGGAGCATAGGGCTTCAGCCGTAAGGCTCCACTGCCAACGTTTTCATCACCTGGCTCCACATCTACTCTCATGCTTTCATCTACTCTCCTCATAACCTCCTCCACGTCACCCTCGCACTGACGATCAACTAACTCACCGATTCCCATTCAGGCTGCACTCAAGCGATGGCCTGGCATGTGACGGATGTCACTTGATGGTGATCTGTTTTTTCAGAGTATGGAGAATCAATCCACCTCCATTTCTTCCTGCATGTATTTTGCACAATCTGTTCCTGCTGGTTTAGTTTGTTGGTTCGTTTCCAGAGATCCATGTAGCTGATGTTTTCTGATCGGGCATCTGATCTTGAGTAGTATGGAGAGAAGACAGCTAGCTGTTGATGGAGGTCTGTAGTTTGTTTGAAGTGTTCTTTATGACGCGCCAAGTTTCTGATCCATAAAGTAGCAGTGACTTGACATTGGAGTTGAAAATCCGGATCTTATTTTCATTTTCATGCTGCGTACTGTTGACCTCCACACAGACTTGAGGGAGATGAAAGCTTGCCTTGCTTTCCGGATCTTCGCTTTGATATCTTCATCAGTTCTGTCCGTCTTTAGTTGAAACGAAGCTTCCCAGGTCGGTAGGTAAAGGAGGTTGTTTCTTTCAGGTTCCTCCCATTTGTACTGATTAGTGTCTGTTGTTGTTGCTGTTGGTATTGCCAGAAATCTTCATCACTTCTATGTTCTCTATGTTCACTTGAAGTCCTATCTTTGATGCTTCTTCTGTCGCCAACTTGTTGCTTTTCATCACTTGCATATCTCCCAGTTTGTGGGAAATCAAACATATATAACATCGGCGAAGTCCAGATCCTCCAAGTTTTTTGTATCGATCAATTTTATACCTGTCTCCTCGTTACCCGTTGTCTGTCGCTCTATCCAGTCTACCGTAGTCAGGAAAATCACTGGAGATAGTAGGCAGCCAGCCAGTCAACCTTGTCTTACTCCCGTTTCCACAGAAGTATATATATATATATATATATATATATATATATAGAAAACAATTTTCCGATTGTTCATATATCCAGTAGCTTATTTGTCTGTATTCAACTAGCGTCCAAGCTTTCATTCCTTGCCATCTGAGCAGGATATCAAGAAGTCTTCAAGCTTCAAAGATTGAAGTTTCAGTAGCTCTGGTGTTGTGTTGTGTTTACTCTGCGGGGGTGTGTGGTGTGGTATGGTGTAGTGTGAGTGGTGAATGGAAGTTGGTTGGTAGTCTGATGCCCGAGCATATCTCTTTTCTTTTCTTTCTCTAAACTCACTATCAGTTAGTTCAATATTAGGCAAGATTAGTGTTTTAGATGACTTTTTCATAAATAGCACTCAATACGTAATAGTTTCCGGTTAAACGATTACACTTTGTTGTTTGCTTTGCTCTGCTCTGCTCTGCTTTACTTCTATCTTTTATTGTTTTGAATTTCGCTCACTCTCAATTGATCAGTATCATTAGGATATGGAAATATTCACGTGTCTGTCTGTGTGTGTGTGTTGTGCGTGGATGGGTGCGTATTCAACTGTGAAATACTAGACAGACTAATATATTCACCTTTTGTATTCCTTTTCTTTATTCTCATAACAACAACAATTATTATTATTATTATTATTGTTTAGACGATATTTGGTATAGCCAATAATTCATAATATAGATGAATGGATAGATTATCAGTTTATAGTGAAATGTTGATATAAGAACAAAACTTGTGCACTGTGGTAGAGTATAATTCCATTATGGGTAAATTTTGTTTTGATAAAGTCTCACAGTATTATACAGTAATGTTTACTGATGACGTTTCGAGCACAACTTATTGCTCATAATCATATCAAGATACTCACACGACTTCCTAAATTCATTTATATCGTTCATTATTTTTCACTTTATTTGATTGGTAGTAGTATTTTCCATACTTCAGGTATGAATGATGACTCATTCCTATTGCATGTGTTTGGTGTAGACTTGATGAACAAGGATTCAGTAATCAGCCTCTATCTCCACCTATTTAGATTACCTTTTAGGATTTCAACCCTCTCCAAAACACCCTATTGTGTGGTTGTGTGTTAGCGCATGCATTGCAATAAAATCCTGAGCTTTTTTCTAAATTATTTATCTTTTTAAGGTCAACCATTCTTGCCTTAGCTAAATTCTTATGCTCTGACAATCTGACTACCCCTGACCTACTAGTTTGACCTATGTAGTTGACCTAACTCACAGTCATTGCATGGTATTTTGTAAATAATATTATTTTGTCCAATTGGGTCAACTGGGTCCTTTAACCTACAGAGCTTGTCCTACCTGAGTGAGTTTGTAGGTTTAAATGCCACCCTAATTCCTATTTTATTGAGAA